TAATTGGTTAATTAAGTGATTGTTTTAGTGTTGGGACCCTGTAGTTCTTTAAGAGGGTCTGGCAAGGATGTGATAGTTGTCTAGATTTTCATTTCCACAATGTGATAGGGGATAAAAGGACAATATTATGACACATACATTAGTGAGTGTACAGGGCGATGGAAAAGCGAATCAAGCAAACACATGATACAGTACCTCTGTGTTCTGAATGTAATGGGATGTATGGATACATACAGTGGTTATTTCTCATCATGGTATATTGTAAATCTTGTGACTAACTTCAATACAGGAGGACTCTCTTCAGGAGGTAACCTGGATATAAAGTAAACTTTACTGTTTGCACTTTTGGTTAAGTTGTCACAACTTAATTAAATTAGATGCTTTATTCAAATCTAGTAATATCTTCATGTAGATGCTAGTACATTCTTCTGCTTATAACACTTTTCTTCTTATTGACAATGGATAAACGATAGTTTTTTTAGTTTTTGTGTGTTTTTCTGCTCTGTGTGTGTTAACACTCCCTGGGTTGCATGTATGGATGTTAAAATCTTTTCCCACAGAAGTCGCACATTTGCCCATAAACCCACACTTGTCACCTTCTGATGAAAGCTAGATAAAAAAAAAAATATTTTAGTTTCTTACCATTTGTTAAAAGGTTGTTTAGATTTAAAGTTAGGGGGTTTAAGTGTAGTCTATAGAGTGCTATAGAGTGCAATGCCATCTATCCAGCAATTTGTGTCAGTAGAGTTTGACACCAGTCTAATTAACTTTGGGGAGTCACCCACCCCAGAGGAATGGAAAACAATACTGTGCCAGAAACTGTCTGTGAGAGCACCCATTGTTTCCCTAAACAAGCTCAGTGTGGGACTAGCTAAAGGAGTGGAGCACAGCATTCATATGTCAGATGCATGTCCCTTCTGTGAATGTTCCCGATACATTGTTCCTGCAGACATCGATGATGTGTTTCACCACATCCAAAAACTACTAGCAGCAGGCATAATCTAGGAGTTGAGAAGTCCTTATGCTTCCCCAATAATAATCGTCTGGAAAAAGAATGGAGACGTAAGAATGTGCATTGACTACTGCACACTCAATAGTCGTACTGTTCCTGACCAGTACACCACACCACACATTGATGAAGCACTAGACTGCCTATCTGGTAGCAAGTGGTTCTCTGTCCTTGATCTGAGTAGTGGCTTTTACCAGATTGCCATAAAAGAGAACGACAAAGAAAAAACAGCCTTCCTCTATCCCCTAGGGTTCTACCAGTTTGAGAGAATGCCTCAAGGCATCACCGAAGCCCTTGCCACTTTCCAGAAGTTGATGGAGAAAGTAGTTGGAGACATGAACATGCTTCAAGTGTTGGTTTATTTAGATGACCTGATTGTGTTCGGACAGACATTAGAGGAACATGAAGAGAGACTACTGAAAGTCCTAGACCACCTTCAGGAAGTACAGGTCTGAAGGTTTCACTTGACAAATGCCAGTTTTGTCAGACAAAGGTCAAATATGTGGGTCACATAGCCTTCACTGATAGCATCGCAGCTGACCCTGCAAAAATTAAAGCTGTCACTGAATGGCCCGGGTCTAGCAACCTAAAAGCCTTACAATCATTTTTGAGCTTTTTTTGTTATTATTGATGATTTATCAAGAACTACTCATCTATTGCATGTCCCTTGACAGACCTTACCAAAGGATACAGCCCCACTCAACATGGGAGAAGTCCCAAAAAGGATTCAAATAATACTTACCTGGATGAGCGAGAGCCCTTTGGTGCCAGGTGGGACAAGTTCTGCACTGAGGCATTTGAAAAGATAAAGTACTGTCTCAGAAATGCCCCAGTATTGGCTTTTGCTGACCCCAACAGGCCATACATGCTACATGTACACGCCAGTCTGAGTGGACTTGGTGCTGTTCTCTATCAAGAGCATCCAGATGGACTGAGGCTTGTAGCATTTGCCAGTAGGAAACTGAGTTTTTCTTAAAGGAACTATCCCATTCATCAGTTGGAGTTCTTGTCCCTTAAGTAGGCAATTTTAGAAAAGTTCCATGACTACTTATATGGAGCCCATTTCACTGTACACACTGATCCACTAACATATGTTCTCACCTCAGTGAAGCTTAATGCTACAGGGCATTGGTGTCAAGAGTGGACCCAAAAGAAGGAGAGGCTGAGTAGCAGAGTATTTCCCAAGGTGGTGTCAAGTCAATCTGCCAGAGAGTTGGTGCTCTTGGCTTCCCTAGAGACTCTCCCAAATATGCTAAACAACTTGGGGCATCTCCAGATTGTGTTCCAGATGCATATGCTTTCCCAACACACATGCAGCTGAATGCACTGGGCCAAATGTCTCAATAAAAGCTGATATTGGTACGTTAAATATGTGGACTGTATCTTGAATTGTCAACTTGAGGATCCGCTGTAAGATATTTGTCCTACATAGTTTATTGTACAAGGCTGGATATTCTTCTGTACGGAGTTGTCTTGCAGTTGTGTAGTGTTATCATGTCTAGCCTCGTAGCAGACCTAACGAACTTATTAGCATTCATTACATAAATGAATGTTGGTATTGGTAATATAGCTAACACGGCGTACTCCCAAGACTGGATTCATTCTTCCCGACCTGGAATTCATGGAGATTATCAGAGATAGTGCTACATGAGTGACCAGTTGGATGGTACAACGGAGCCCGCTACTGCTTGTACCAGGACATGTGGGCCTGTGACTACTTCACCATTGGGTGGCTATTGGGACCCTTTTGCCATTTCTTTTGGACACACAGAGGAGGTAACGCTTCAGTCTCAGGACTATGAACTACTAAGTAAGGTACCGTCTTTTATTTGGATCTTATGAGTGAAACAGCTGCTTAATTTTTGACATCAGCGCAGCCAAGTATCCATCAAGCCAACAACGGGGGTTAAACTTCAGTGTATGTGCCAGCTGGTGGAGAGTCAGTGTGTGTGATGTGTGAGCCCACTATGTTTGTGTGTTTATTTTGAAATATTGAAACGTATCGTACAAGGAAAAGGTTCATAAATATTGAAAGGAGATTGTTATTATTTATGGTTTACCATGACCTGTTTTTGTTGAGTAAATTAAGAAACTTTAACTCTAACTTGTGTTTGGTTATTCTGAACAGCACCCATAGGATCTAAGGGCACATAATATAGCGAGGTTTGTTACCATCTTAAGATTTGTCACTTACAGTTACTACGAATTATTCAGACTCAGTGCCCTTACCTTATACAGTGGGTATATAGGTGGGTTATGGTTAAACATACTCAGTGGCAACATGCCAGCCCAGTCCCCCAGTTTGCCTGCAGTTACCAAGATGGGTGTCAGTCTTACCCCTGTTCAGCCACATTAGTTGTTCTGATGACAAGAAAGGTCAGAAGACACATTGCAACATACTAAATACCTTTCTGCCCTCCCTCACTGTCCTACTAGAATTATATTGAAAGCAACAATATTATATTAATAGTCATGATCACAAAAAAAATGATTGAACAGTCACAGCCTATTTAGGTATTGGAAAAAAAATTATCGTACTTTTGCTGGGTTTGCAAAAACATTGTGGTGTGATGTCATGATGTCATCATGTTACAATAATAAACATATAGTTAAAGTTGGTAAACTATCCTGGATAAAAAATATTTTAGACAGAAATTAAACATGGGTCTCCTGTGGCAAAGTCCTGTGTTAATGTGACCCATCATTCTGCTGCAGTAACATTTTGAAATGCTGCTGATGGGCTTAGAAACAATAGACACAGGGGAGCTGACAATGACTTTATTTAATAGAAATGCAGAGGAGGGCTGCTTCTCTTGGTAGGCCTCTCTCAGCAAAGTAAAGCTCGACAGAGCTCTGCCACAAGAAGGAGAGATGTCTTCACCTCCATCTACTGTGCATAAGACTACACAGTCACACAGAGGAGGACACTTCTTTCTATAAATCACTGTGTTGTGGACAGTTTTACGATGGAGTTACTCAACCCAGATCTTGAGAAAAACACCACCTTTGTGCATCCTGCTTACTTTATAATAAGTGGATTTATTGACATACCTGATATGAAGTATTATTATGTCTTTCTCTTTTTTGTTTACATAGTTTCAGTGCTGGGAAACACAGCTGTGATGGGAATAATATGCTTGGATCATACTCTGAGAACTCCAAAATATATTGCAGTGTTTAATTTAGCATTTGCAGACCTGGTTGGTAGCTCTGCTTTGGTGCCAAAAGTATTTGACATTTTTCAGTTTGACCATCCCTACATTGTCTACAATGACTGCTTTACATTTATGTTTTTCTGCTACGCCTGCCTTTCAATGGAGCCTCTTAATCTGGTTGCACTTGCCTATGACAGACTGATAGCCATCATCTTCCCACTGCACTATCAAGTGAAGGTGACCCACAGGTTCATGTTTTCTTTGATTGCCTCTTTCTGGCTTTTTGCCAGTAGTGTTGTAGTTATTGCAGTTGTCCCTCTAACAACACTTTCCTATTGTAAATCTGTGGTTATTAATAGTTATTTCTGTGACTATGCCTTGGTGCACAGACTCGCCTGCAATGAAAATGTACTCACCTTGTTCACTGGACATTCTCTATCAGTATTTGTTCTTTGGCTTCCACTGCTATTTATCGTCTCATGTTATTCATATATTGGCTATGCATTGTCTAAAGTAGCTGCAGTTAAAGAAAGAGTGAAGGCCTTTAAAACCTGCACATCTCATCTTTCACTGGTGGCCACAGTGAAGAAAGCCATTTTAAAATGATCATTTGTGTATATTCAGCGCTATCTGTTTAGGATATTGTTTACAATCCAGTAAAAGTTGGAGCAAAGTCTATAGAGCAACAGCTACAGCTTATTGTAAAGTGGACACTTTTGTAACATCTCATAAATGATTGAACTTGAATTTATTTTATGAAAGGGATTGTAGTGATTTATTTTGAAGTCAAATAATTTAAAAGAACAATACTCAAATAAAATAACTCTTTTATGGCCCTGTGGCATTAACTACACTCTACATTATGACAGGTACAACACACAACACTAGTATTCTGCTAATTACTTTAATTTGTTTTTCAACCAAAAAAAGGGAAATGTATTTGGCCTTGTGTTGTACGGTAACATCCACCGCAAAATGTAGAAGTAGATTTATTTATAGACAGTAAATGTAAATTTTGCATTTGTGTCATACAACCAGAAATAGAATGAATTTGGTTCTCTCTGTTTTGTTCTTTTATACAGTCAAAGAAAATGAATGGCTGAATCATTATGCTTATGATTATTGATTTTATGGAAAAATTGGTGTTGAAATACTAGTAGATGACCAACTATACCACAAGATACACAGTAAGCCATGAGTTGATACATGATGATTGAGCCCATTGAGAAGGTTTGAGTGTCTGCTTCTGCAAAAACATCCTATATTCAGCTGCCTAGTACTTTACTGGAAAGTGATTGATAATGTATTTGTCAGAACCACAAGCAAATTTTGTTATTTTTTAAAATTAGTTAATAAACTATTTATTATGATTTATTTTTCTATTTTGGTATGGTGTTAGAATATCCCCTTAATATCTGAAAATTCATTTTAAATTTATTCTCACATCTTCCAATAATGAACTCCTTTTCTTTCTTTTCTTTAGTAGTTTGTTTAATCACATATACTACTCTGGTGGTACTATAGTGTAATAAAATCCTACACAGAAGACATTTTACATTAGTTTGTACAATACCCTTCATGATGAGGAAGCTGAACTTCATGTGTGTAAAATGGCGGCGTGCCTTTTAGACAGTGATTTGTATTAAAATTTTGAGATGCACAGAGCTGATCCTCATTAGATCCTAAATTTCTATCTGTGCCGAGGAACTAAAACTGCAATAATTGAGGAGAAGTTTATTTTGCATCTCATCCTTTTCCAGGATGTGCTCAAAACATCCAAATTCATGTCATTTTGATCTTGTAACTGCAGATGATCAGGACCAGTCTGTAATCACTGCCATCTCAGAGAAGCACACAGTGGACAAATGGCAAGAAGTCTTAAAGCAAGCAGAAGGCCTGTGTGCAGACACAGGATTTGCAAAATAGATTTCACTGTGTGAGGAGGCAGACCCAAACAGATAAACATCTGTAGAGTTTAAAAAGACCACATTAATACAGCATAGAAGACCTGAGAACATAATTGAGTTTGTGCTGTATCTATAATATATGCTTATAAATGTATTTAACTGGACCTCTAGAATAAAGTATTCTGTGAAATATAGGGCATCAGTTTAAGTAGGTTACAGCTGTTATTGCAATGCATGGGATTCATATTAGTCTTAGTCTGTTGTCTTACAGTGTACTCATCCATGTATGTCTCTCCAGTGGTGCTTGTGGAAGTTTGGTAATGAGACAAATGAAAAGAACAAACTGGGGCTGATTAATCTTTGTCATGGCTGCTGCTGCAGTTTGAGTGTAACCGTAGCAAATATACAAGAGACTTGGCTGTTTTAAGGCAAGAGACAATTATATCAGGAGATCTCTGCACCAGCAGGTATAGTGCACCTTCATCATCATGGAAACATTTCAGTTCAATTCAAATTTCTTTGTATAGCGCCAAATCACAAAAAGTTGCATCAACACACTTTACAAAGTAAGGTCTTTGTCTTACCATTATTATTCATATTGCTACTATTATTATTACTGAGGTAAAACCCAAGCACTTGGCAATAGTAGAGAGGAAAAACTCCCTTAATGTAAGGAACCTTAGACAGAGCCCAGCTCTTGATGGGCGGCCTTCTGCCTTGACGGGATGGGGTGAGTGGATAGAGAGAGAAAAGAAAAGCAACAAGACACAACAAACACAACAACAAACAGTCAAACACTGGACAGGTTGATATAGCTGATCACTGCTCATCTGAAACATACATCTACAGAGGCAAGGACACTCACAGAAATGTACAGGGAGAGAGAGAGGAGACACAAAGTTAGTGGCATGTAATGGTGGCATATAGGTGCAAGAAGAGAGAGGAGAGGAGCTTCGCAGCATGGGACAACTCTGTCTAGCCCTATGACTAAAGAATGGTACACCAAACCAAACTTATCCAACATGGCATCCTGTTGACTACAAACTACTGGTACAGTTAAATAAACTAAGAGGCAACAGGACAGACCAGGCCCCCAGTTTCCTTGCAGTTACCAAGATGGCTGTCAGTCTTACCCCTATTCAGCCACATTAGTTGTTCTGATGCGATGAAATGTCGGAAGACATATAGCAACATACTAAATACCTTTCTACCCTCCCTCAGTGTCCTACTAGAATTATATTGAAAGCAACAATATTATATTAACAGTCATGAACACACAAACAAAATTTCTTCCTGACTGTGTTGTGGACAATTATTGGAACAAAAATTATTGTAGTTTTCTGGGTTTACAGAAACATTGTGGTGTGATGTCATGATGTCGCCATATTACAATAATAAACATATGGTTACAATTTTTAAACTATCCTAGATAAAAGATATTTCACACAAGAACTAAACATGGGTCTACTGTGACAACGTCCTGTGTTAATGTGATCCATCACTCAATCTGCTGCAATAACATTTTGAAATGTTGCTGATGGGCTTAGCAACAATAGACGCAGGAGAGCTGACACTGACCTTCTGCTAATTGCTTTTGTTTGTTCAAATAGGTTTGTGTACAAGTATATACTGCAAATAAGTCACTGTGATGAAGCAGTTTGTGTCTCAGCATAATCATGTTGCCCTGATTGAGTCTACTGTATAGTTTTCATTTTAACATTTCATGCCAAATTTAAAAAATTTGCATTGCTAGAATCACTGTTAGAGTGAGAAATATTTATTGTGATCAAATGTTTTTTCTGTTTCTTGAGCTTTGATACCTTAAGGTTGCACTGAAATTAGCCATTTTGTTTCTTTTCTTTATCCCTTTACTGAATTCATCTTTGTTTTCTGACTGAACACTACTTTACATTAAACTTTTCAAGCCATTCAGGGACATTATGACTTTTTCTGAAATTATTATGTAAATGCCGCATGCTTTAATGTCTATTATTGTGGTTGTGTGAGGGGCAGTTATGAAGAGAACACTGAAAATTGTTGTGATCTAGAGTACTTTTACAAATAGAGTTCAATATTATGACAGAAGATGTGCAGGACAAAGCACACTAATAATTAAGACCTGGTGAGAGAGTGGACCTCGAGTTACTGAGAGGTGCACCTGGGTCATGATTGTGGCAGATTCTGTTTGAAAACTGAGCAGAACCAAACTGAAAAGACTTTCAGCATCAGCTAATTAAATTTGGCTATTGATGTGATAGTTTAAAATCAGATTTTAGAACCTGTCACACAACAGCACAGTGGGGAATTTGTTAGAATACGCTCGCACACGGAAGTGAGCGGGCGAAAAAGAGAGGCGGACCCAGGTAGCCGACTTCAGTGCAAGCAGTGATTTAATTATACATAGTGCAGTATAGTGATAACAACAAGTAAGTAGAGGATAATGAAATAGAGTAACCGCAGTGTCGACCAGCAGCAGGAGTAGAGGGTTGATGAGTTGACTGTGGTGGGCCGAGCAGGATCACTCCTGGGCTGGTCGGTGGTTGATGGTAGCTACTGGTAAAACATAAGCAGAGAGGAGTTGGTATGGCAGACAACTGGTGACTGTGCATCGACCTGTCTGGGAGGGTAGAGTAGAACCAGGGTCCGGAGGAAAAAAAAAAACAGTCCAAGAAGGGGAAAAAGAGGTACTGGCTAGAGGAGGAGAAAAGCATGGCAATTCTGGGCAAAAACAACAGGAACTGGAAACACAGAAAAATACAGTAACAAATAATAATCATAATGGAAGACAAAGAGACGGCCTAAGAACATGAACGAACCGGCAGGGAATGAAAAGTGAGCCGGGTATAAATAAGGTGGGGGACTGAGTGAATGCAGCTGGTGATAATTAAGGAAACAGGTGGCAGGTGTGTGAGATGGAGTGAGCTAAGACAGAAAAAGTGGGAAAAGGCAGGTGTAGCCGAGCAAACCTGACATACAGTCATGTGAAAAAATTAGGACACCCTTTGAAAGCATGTGTATTTTGTAACATTTTTTAATATATGGTTATTTAATCTCAATTTTAACAATACAGAGAGATTAAAGTAATACAACAAAATAATTAAAACTGAAGAAAAGGCTTTTCAAGATTTTCTGTAAATGTAATTCTACAAAAATGCCTATTCTAACGGAGGAAAAGGATAGCACACCCTCACATGTATGCCCTCTTAAAATGGCTCAAATCACACACAGGTATATCACACCAGGTGCACATAATTAGTAGATTGTTACTCAGCATTTTGAATGAGGCTTGCCCTATCTAAACCTCAGACATTTAGTTTGGTGTGCTCCTGACTATTGAAGTGAGAGTGAGCACCATGGTGATAGTGAAAGAGCTGTCAGAGGCCTTCAGAAAAAAACATTGTAGCAGCTTATGAGTCTGGATAAGGGCTTTAAAAAGATCTCAAAAGATTTTGAAATCAGCCATTCCACTGTCCGGAAGATAGTCTACAAGTGGAGAGCTTTCAGAACAACTGCCAACATGCCCAGGTCTGGTCACCCCAGCAAGTTCACCCGAAGAGCAGACCGCAAGATGCTAAAAGAGGTCTCCAAAAACCCTAAAATGTCATCTCGAGATCTACAGCAGGCTCTGGCTACTGTTGATGTAGAAGTGCATGCCAATACAACCAGAAAGGGACTGCACAAGTTTAACTTGCATGGGAGGTGTGCAAGGAGGAAACCGTTGCTCTCTACGAGAAACATCAGGCCACACTGACATTTGCCAGAGAATGTTGACAAAGACCAGGACTTCTGGAATAATGTTCTTTGGACAGATGAGTCCAAAATTGAATTATTTGGACACCAGAGCAGAGGACGTGTTTAGCATAAACCAAACACAGCATTCCAGGAAAAGAACCTCATACCAGCTGTGAAGCATGGAGGTGGAAGTGTCATGGTTTGGGGCTGCTTTGCTGCAGCAGGACCCGGTCAGCTCACCATCATAGAATCCACCTTGAATTCTACTGTGTATTGTTAGGGTTATTTTTATTTTACACACTTATGAATGGTTTTATTTTATAGCACGCATAAGTATGCATACTTACATCTCACAGATATGTTTATGTACCGTATTTTCCGGACTATAAGTCGCACTTTTTTTCATGGTTTGGCTGGTCCTGCGACGTATACTCCGGAGCGACTTATGTATGTTTTTTTTT